TCTTGCTAATCAGCTGCTTTTGATACAGTTTTTTTATCCTTATGCTTTGCTTTACTTCAGCCTCAGACATTTTAATTGGCACCTCACATATAATTTCCTCTTATCTCCAGGAACAGCTTACGCAGTTAATAGCTTTTTTTCACTTCTTCTGACATTGTAATCTTTGTTTCCCCACTCATTCCTTGCTTTTACATTCAATGAACAGGTCTCCTCTCAGCATTCTTGCTCTTTCTATAGCTCCAGCGCTTGTGAAAATCCACTCTGCCACTTTCAGATTGTTTACATCCACACAATTCAACTGGTGTTGAAGACAGTTGAATTCAAAATTACAACAACTTGATTGTACTTTTCCTCATTTCTGTTTTCTGCCTGTTTCTTCTTCTAACTCTTGCATGTTTATCTACTATTTTTCCTAATCTGCGACCTTCAGCGTCAAGTTTACCATTTTCTAGTCTGATGTCAGTATTCTCCATTACATAGTCCATCTCCAGTATAATTCAAGTGCCACTCAAGCTTCCCTCTGCTCCTTTCATCTGCACTTCCTGTTTATAGCACCCAAGCACCTCATTCTCCAGCTGGGATTGATGTTTACTTAAGTCTGGTCCATCCTCCAGTTGCATCCACATAGCATAATAATTACACTAAGTGGACTCTCAGGCCTATGTGAACTCATTCATGGCCAGTGTGGAGTACACACTCCATCACAATATGCATTATGAAAATACTGATTATGCAGTCCTTTGGGAATAACTTAATGAGCTAAAAAGGCAGAGAAACTGCCAGAGAGAGCCTAGGAATAAACTCATCAAGAAATGAAAATCACTGGGGAGTCTATGGGAATTGTATACATATGCATATCAACAAAGGCTGAACATTCTTATCAGTTAAAACACAGCTATATATAACTGTATTACTCAGATTTAGATTATTCATTTGAATTGAATGGCTGCACAGATGTGTTCTTAAATCTAAGGTGTCAGATGTTAAAAAAAGCATGAGTTTATTAAAATATGACAATACCAAGCCTTTGTTCAATTGTTTGTTTATAGCCCTCTTATTGTTGGCATGACTCACCCACCCAAATTTCTAGGCCTCTTGTTTGCAAAGGAAACTTTGAAATGTAACTTATGGGCACCCTATAAGGTTCCAAAACAGAAAGTAAACGATGAGCTTAGGGAATATCATTTTAAAACTCATGATTTTTAAGTTAATATCATTATTTATTATTTTAATTAAGGACCTGGCTCATTATTTTTGAATTCCTGTGGTTACCAATATTGTAATCTGGAAAGAGCTTTTATCAATGTTAAGGCAATAAAAGACCTTGGTATATTTCAGGGTCAGATGAACCCCTGCATTGGCTCTCTGTCACTCACATACATACTTTATATATCAAAAATCCTTTCTCCTGTTGGTTTCTCCTCCATCAAGATCTACTCCAGCAGCTGCCTGGGTCCATGTTAAAAAACAAGTTAAAAATCTCCTAGAAAAGTTAGATGCCTGCAAGTCCCCAGGGCCTGATTAAATGAATCCTAGAATACTCAAGGAGCTGATAGAGGAGGTATCTGAGCCTCTAGCTATCATCTTTGGAAAATCATGGGAGACAGGAGAGATTCTAGAAGACTGGAAAAGGGCAAATATAGTGCCCATTTATAAAAAAGGAAATAAGAATAACCCAAGAAACTACAGATCAGTTAGTTTAACTTCTGTGCCAGGGAAGATAATGGAGCAAGTAATTAAGGAAATCATCTGTAAATACTTGTAAAGTGGCAAGGTAATAGGGAACAGCCAGCATGGATTTGTAAAGAATAAATCATGTCAAACCAATCTGATAGCTTTCTTTGATAAGATAACGAGTCTTGTGGATAAGGGAGAAGTGGTGGATGTGGTATACCTAGACTTTAGTAAAGTGTTTGATTCAGTCTCGCATGATATTCTTATCAATAAACTAGGCAAATACAACTTAGATGGGGCTACTATAAGGTGGGTGCATAAGCTCCCTCCAGCCTGGCCAGTTTTTCCGGAAAATCAGCCACTTTTCCGGAAAAACTTGCCAGCTGTCTACACTGGCCGCTTGAATTTCCGCAAAAGCACTGACGATCTCATGTAAGATTGTCAGTGTTTTTGCGGAAATACTATGCTGCTCCCGTTCGGGCAAAAGTCCTTTTGTGCAAAAGGGCCAGTGTAGACAGCTCAGCTTTGTTTTCCACAAAAAAGCCCCAATCGCGAAAATGGTGATCGGGGATTTTTTGCGGAAAAGCGCGCCTAGATTGGCATGGATGCTTTTCCGCAAAAAGTGCTTTTGCGGAAAAGCGTCCATGCCAATCTAGACGCTCTGTTCCGAAAATGCTTTAAACAGAAAACTTTTCTGTTCAAAGCATTTCCGGAAATTCATGCCAGTCTAGACGTAGCCAGAGAGTAGTTATTAACAGTTCACAATCCTGCTGGAAAGGTATAACAAGTGGGGTTCCGCAGGGGTCGGTTTTTGAAACTAGCTCTGTTCAATATCTTCATCAACGATTTAGATATTGGCATAGAAAGTACGCTTATAAAGTTTGCAGATGATACTAAGCTGGGAGGGGTTGTGACTGCTCTGGAGGAAGGGTCATGATTCAAAATGATCTGGACAAATTGGAGAAATGGTCTGAGATAAACAGGATGAAGTTTAATAAGGACAAATGCAAAGTGCTCCACTTAGGAAGGAACAATCAGTCTCACACATACAGAATGGGAAGTGACTCACTAGGAAGGAGTATGGTAGAAAGGGATCTAGGGGTCATAGTGGACCTCAAGCTGAATATGAGTCAGCAGTGAGATGCTGTTGCAAAGAAAGCAAACATGATTCTGGGATGCATGAACAGGCGTGAGGTGAGCAAGACAGGAGGAGTCCTTCTTCCGCTCTGCTCTGCACTAGTTAGGCCTCAGCTGGAGTCTTGTGTCCAGCTCTGGGCACTGCATTTCAGAAAGATGTGGAGACATCGAAGAGGGTCCAGAGAGGAGCAAGGAGAATGATGAAGCTCTAGAGCCCATGAGCTAGGGGAAGGCTGGAGGAACTGGGCTTGTTTGGTTTGGGCAGGAGCAGGCTGAGGGGACCTGACAGCTGTTTTCAGGTGTCTGAAGGGTGTCACGGGGAGGGGGGAGGAAGAGTGTTCCCCGACAGGCAGCAAGGGGCTGACACTGCAGCAGGGAGGTTCGGGCTGGACATGAGGAAACACGTCCTGCCTGTCGGGGGGTCAAACACTGGAATCAATTGCCCAGGGGGCAGTTGTGGAATCCCTGGAGATATGGAGGAGGAGCTTGGACAGACACCTGGCAGGGACGGGCTAGATCAGTGGTCCCCAACCATTTGACGTTGCCGGGCACCAGGGGCGGGGACGCTTCATATGCCACACCCCCATGAGCCGCGCACCAGGGGCTGGCACTCCCCATGTGCCGCGCGCCCGGAGCACAGACAGCTGCTTTGCCGTGTGCCCAGGGACGGCACCCTTCCCCTCCTGTAGATGCGCGCCCGGGACCGGTGCTCCCCATGTGCTGCGTGCCCAGAGTGCAGGCGGCCACTTCGCCGTATGCCTGGGGCTGGCGCCCCTCCCCCCCATAGCCGCGCCCCCG